GAGCATTATTGCATTCAGAGACACATGCAGTGGCATTCCTAAAGGACAAGTGCACAGGACGCTTTCTGCCACGCCATCAATAGTTGAATATGAAGGCAGCATAGTCTGCGAAAAACAATTTTAACTGGCAACCTCACAAAAATGACAGCACTGGGCAAGGCAAAAAAATCCCAGTATCCCATTTTCAGCAGCTGGCTCTGAGTGTCAGAAAGCACAGTGTGAGCAGAGGAGTACTGAGCGCTCTTCCCTCCTCGCTTCTGGCAACCGCTGGAGTCGGGCCTTGCTGAATTACAGCAGTGAAGCCGTGATGCACTTCTAGAAAAGGCAAAGGCTATGATCCCTTGTTTCTTTCCAAAAAGTGACCTATCTGGCTAAGGTGAAGAGTGTTTTCTTTCTTCTAGAGTTTTCTCTGCTCAGTAAAACTGACATTTATTTAGCTGCCTCAGTTATGAAGTAAAGGTCAGGAGCTGTGCTGGTTTGCCCTGTTAACCCATGAGAAACGGGCCCAATTTCCCTGCCAGGAAAACATACACTAAGTTTTTTTTGCCAGCTAGGTTGATAAAAAAAGCTTATTAGGTAGTTCAGTGTCAAGGCTCTATCTGTTCTGATCTTCAAACACCAACATTCATAACATTCAAAGTCTGACTGAGTTTTCCAACTGTCAGTTTTGGTGTTTACTTGCTTGGAATATAGCTGTCTGCTTCAGCTATGCTCTTAACTGAATTTTCTTCTCTGGATTACCTCCAGATAGTCCTTGAAAATGGGTAGTTCACAGAACAGGACAGATATTGTTTATAGGGAAAACGGGATATTTGCAGATTAGTTATATGTTGCATAGGAAGGTCTTCTTGTGGAACTACGTAAGAAAATAAGAAATGGTAGTGCTTATCAGGCTGTCTAGCACCTTGCTTTGTTCCTTCTCCCACTAAACAGCCATTTCTGGAGAGCAGTGGGTTTGGTATTCAAGGCATTCCCACCAAATGGGATGCAGGGCTGCCATGTTAAGTCACTGCCAGTTGCCATCTGGAAAGCTTCCTGAAGACAACACTCCAGACCTCTTTCCAAACCTGATCGTCCCTGAAATACAGCACAGAGAGGAATCCCAAAGCATGGATTGCTAGTTTGCACCCAGAGAAGACAACCTTAGTTTTTTCCCTGCTTACTACCATCACTTCTTTCCATGGCTTTCTGACCATCCCACTTTGGCTGCAGATCTTCAAACAGGCCTAACTTTCAGGTCGGAAGTCAATTAAACAGGTCATTTGGTGCACGTCTTGTATACGGGTATTTCCAGGACTGCAGCCCTTGTAACCATAATTGAAGAGGGGACTGTAGTGTCCATAAACAGTTTCATCTTATAAAGAACTTCAAAAAAATAAACACTACTACAAAGACATAGTGCCTGTTTACCCAGAAGGAACTGCCTCAGTGCAGCCTGCGATATAGTTTTCAAAGCAGCCACTGAACGTCACTGCGTCTAGGTTTGGATGTAGAATCTGGATTTGAATTCTGGCTGCCCAGCTGCACTCCAAATCCAGTTTTGCAGTCTGAAGGCACCAGAGTAGTAGGTGCTGCTGTGAAGCATAGGCATTTTCAAAGTTTCCTTACAGCTATTAAAATCATAGGAAAGGAACAGATATTTCATCTCCTATAACTCAGAAACACTGATTCTACTCCCGGAAGAAAGCCTTTCAGGAAGGAACACTTTTTCTCTAAGCATTCTTTCCCAGGTCTTGCCTCATATGAACAAAACATAAAAAAATATTCCGGTAATTTGCTGACAGCATGCAAATACATTTTTGCCAGTGAGCAAAGAGAACTTAGACCAAAAAATTAACTAATAAAATTAATTCCCTTCTTTTAAGGCATAAGGAAGCCTTTGTAAGTTTTGGAATATAACTCCTCAAGCAAGCTCTGAAACTCTCTCCATACAATCTTGTCCTTGTTGAACAAGTATCAAGATCAAGTGACACAAAAGACTTTTCTCATCTTGCACATCAGCCTTTGTGCACCACAGAAGACTGCGGGTAATCCGATGTTATACAACTTAGCCTTTCACTTGCTCTGCACAGAAACACAATGTGCCTTTACTGGACAGAGAGAAAAACAAGCCACGGACAGATTTTCAAGTCTTTCTGGCAAGACTACTCTGGCTTCCCGAAAAGTAATTTAAATCAGGACACGGGAGAAGTAAAGCAGTGCCTCAACCATTCCTTGTATAGAAGGTGGGTCTTCCCAAAGATGAATAAACTCAAAGTGAATTCCTCCACTACCTCCTTTAGCGCAAGTCATTTCACGCTCCTTTCCCAACAGCCGTGACTTAGCAGCAGCATCATCTTCAGCAATACCAATGTTACAAACAGTTTCAGTGCCCTTTGCCTGACTCCCACAGAGATGAAGTGCAGGAATTCACTACTAGCAACAAAGGATGCCAGCTACTTCAGTGGAGAATCTCCCATATTTTTTTGGCAACCATACTGGTTTCCAGATGAAGGGTGTGAGCACAACAGCCATGTGCCATTCACAAGGAGCAGCACCAGTGCTGTGGAGGAAGCAAACCAGCTAACAAAGCCAGCAGGCTTGCTTCCTGTTGTCCGTGCAGCGGGCAAGCAGGCATAGACACCTCCAGACCACTGGCCACTACTCCCGGTCCGGTCTGCATCCCACAGCAGGTAGGGAGTCTGAGGTGTTTACTGAGGACTCAAGAGCTTTGCCACATTACGGCACACACGATACACAAAACATCGTATTACCACACTCAGAAGCTCACCTTTGAGAGAGGGAAATCTGTCTTTTGCACAGTGTAGCAACAGTCTGCTGTTAAGTACCATCCTACTCAATCATTTTAGGCACATGAAGCGGAACTTACACAGTGCGTGCTAGAGATGATGACGGAGCTGGAGATGAAGCTCAGACCATCGTTCATACTGACTTGAAGAGCTGCTTCCCTGAAAAAAAAGCACACAAGAAACCAGTCAGCCAGCTAGTCCACAACCCTCTTCAAGAGAATATCCTCTAGAACCTGCGCTGCTGATGCACAGAAAAGCCTTTTGTACAGGTTATTTCAGCCTGCTGGTGCTCTCTCCCCTGTGCCCTGCTGCATAACTGCCAATTAACCCAACAAGAACAGGAGCCAATGTCAGAATTAGATGCATACGAGAACGGAATATGGTGAGATGACACAGACCCATTTTCCCACAGGCAAAGTAAATATTTGACTACGTAGAAAAACACATACATGCCAACTTCTCGTAGCACAGGTGCTGGGCAGAGTAAGTAGGTATCTTCCACTACAAAAGGTTTCTCATCTGGAAAAAAGAAACATTAGGATTTATTACCTGATCACTAATAGAAGCCCTAAAAACCAAGCTTAAATAATGTTTTTCCTCACTCCTAATACAGAAATAAGATCAAATGCCATGTGAGGGATAAAAAGCTCCTGCACAGGAGTTGTTCCGAGGTAACTGTAGGCGTACTGTAGCCCATGGAGCTCCAGAGTAAATACAAGGAAACAGCAGACACCCTGCACCTAAGGAAAAAAATTCAACACCTCACATTTACACCCCCTGCCCTGAGAAAGATGGGGAAGCGTGGCAGCTGACCCCCCTTCCTCATTTCTTTGCAGAGCCCTCGTGAAACCGTCTCATTTTTCAGGTGGCCGCAGCTCTCCGTGGTTCTCACTATGAACCATCACTCCACAAAGCCCCTTGTGCCACCGGCTCCTACAAAAGGGCCGAGGACACAGAGATTCTTCACAGAGAGGGTGGGGAGGCACTGGAACAGGTTGCCCAGAGATGTTGTGGATGCCCCATTCCTGGAAGTGTCCAAGGCCGGGCTGGTTGTGGCTTTGAGCAACCTGGTCTAGCGGAAGGTGTCCCTGCCCATGGCAGGGGGTTGGAACTAGATGATCTTTAAGGTCCCTTACAACCCTAACCATTCCATGATTCTATGACACCTGACCCACAGCGCTGAATGCCTCAGGGCCTTCGGCAGCCTCACGCCACTGTCGCTCACACCTCGCACACGGCACCTTCGCCGTTACTGCTCTGCGCTGCTGAAATCTGTCGTGCCACACTTCTGAGCCCCAACAAAACCAAAGATGCAAAGCTTTTTGAATGGTCAGAGTAAATTATCACAGCCACTCTATGTAACTCTACATAGCTGGAGTCAGAAAATTGTGTACTATGGACAATTTTGCATTTCAAGGCAGACTCATCTGAACCTAAATTAAATTAAACCTTCCAACCTAAATTATACTGTGGTTTTAAAAGCAGGATGAGAAAAATTATCAGTAGGCAATTGCCTGGGAAACAGGAACACTACATACATACTCTTCTTTTGGAGACTTAAATCGGAATTCCATACCACCTCTCTGGTGACCAGGGAGATGGGGATGCCAAGGAACTTCCCAGCCCATCTGCCAGCTGACCAGAGATTGGGCAGATTGGCAGAAAACTGGGCAGACAGGCTGGGTGGTTTTTGGATTTTGGACTGGAAAACACACATTCCTACACAAGGGGTTGTTTTTGCCGAATCAGCATTTTCCAGAAGCAGGTCACTGCATCAGAAAGCATTGCGGCTTATAGGCTTTATGATTTATAACCACTGGTTATAACCACCTCTAGGGCCTTCTCTAGAGATACTTATAGTCCTGAAATGAGCTGTTACCAAGTATTACCAGCTTCCTAAAACCTTCCAGTTAAAATTTTCCTGTCCTTTGAAAGCCCCTCTCCTAACAGATTTCTTCCCCTTCACCTCTGACACCTGTAGGTTTTAAATCTCATCTTCAATCCAAACCTTGAGTCTCATCTCTATATCCTGCAGGGTGGAAGGGACCTTCTCTCTATGGGACCATGTTGAAACAGGAGTACAATTCGTCATCACCTTGCTTTGCTATTTGAAACAGACAGCAAACCTGGCGTCTGACCACCTGAAGTCTCTTCACAACTCACAGTGTGCTTAACTTCCCAGGGCACACAACACTGGCAACGTGGAGGCAAGGTTGCAGTGTCTGGGGCATCACTGACAGCACCAGGGAATGGCAAGGAGCAAGGATAAAAGTTTAACCACATCATTTAGCAATCTGTTGACGAGCTGAGCTATTCTGACTGTCTGGTCTCTTGTTTTTGAGGAAACTTGTGCAAGTTATAATTCCATTTAAGGTGCCAGTGGAAAGAGGAAAAGCCAGGAAAAGACACAAGCCAAAGAATGTGGCAACCTTCTTTAAAGTACTTTCTGCATCCGCTGCGAGCCTTGTGCATTCTCCACATGGCTGCCGGGATAAACCTGCTCACGTGGATGTTGTCTAATAATGATTAGGACAACAGCAGTGGAGCACTATCAGCCCTGGCCCCGTTCGCAGTGGTTCACGCAGAAGCAGGGTCTCGCAGCCCGTTTTACTGCAGTGGATGAGGTGGAGAGATGAATACAAGCAGAAGCAGGACTCACCACGTCAAGCTTTCTTTCCTAGACATTCCTAAAGGAGGGGTTTCCACTAAATACCAAATTTTAGACAGCAGTAACGTTGCCATAGTAATCCCTATCACACATTATAATCCCTACTTCATACCATGCTTTGCTTTGGCAGCCATATAAAAGATTATTTCCTCAAGCAGGTTAGGCAATGTTTATTTTTCACACTCCATTAAAAAACCTGAAATGGTAATGAAAAGTTGTAGCCTACCCCGAAGTTTTTCTTCTATTTCCAGCTTCCAGCAAATCCCATGCCTACATATACACTTGAATTTTTGAGTTACCTACAGCAGTTATTTTGTAATGGACTGAGATCTAAGGAAGGAATTCTTCCTGCAGAGGGTGGGGAGGCACTGGGACAGGTTGCCCAGAGAAGCTGTGGATGCCCCAACCCTGGGAGTGTCCAAGGCCAGGCTGGATGAGGCTTGGAGCAACGTGGGCTAGTGGAAGGTGCCCCTGCCCATGGCAGGGGGTGGGACTGGGGGGGCTTTAAGGTCCCTTCCCACCCAAACCATTCTATGATTCTATAACTGTTTGACACAGGCAAGCAGCTGAAAATGAAATATTTTAGACAACCGTATGGTTTTCCCAGACGGGTTTTGCTTCTGCATCATAGCTCACCTACTGAGAGCAGCCTTCAGGCTGCTGTGATCCCTCTAGACCCTGGCTCCTGCTCTTGGCCTGGCAAGTACCATAGCATCGCTGTTTTCCCTCAGCCTCAGTGCAAGAACACTCATGAACATTTCCACTAAGCTAAACAATAGGAGCAAATGTTTTTAGCCCAGGGTATTCCTTTGCTAGCCCTGTACTATCCAAAAACTTACTTCCTCATTAAAAGCAGCAGACAGACACTGGGTATTTAAAGCATGCAGTGTAGCGATACAACGCACATCCCTCACTCCTATCGCCTACAGCACAGGCACTGGATTTATGGTGACCTTGTGTCATACATCCCGTTTTGCAATGGAGTTACCAAACCAAGACAGCAGCATTTCCCACTTTGCACAAGCCAGGCAGATGTGCAGTGCTGGTGAATCTGGCCCTACAGTTCTGTTCCCACCCTGATTTATGAAGACATCATTAACTCCCATAAATTTATTACACTGTCTCATGCATACAAGCCAAGAGAATGAAGACCACTGTCTTGTTTTCTCCTTTCCTAACACTGGCAGCAAAGGCCGAAGAACTCTTCATGCCAGCATTCACCAGAGCAAAAGCTGGCTTAATTTTGCAAGACCTTTTCCTTAGGCCTCATTAGCTTTTTGTTTCTCTTTCTCTCCCTTCCCACCCCCAAATGCATTGAAGTCTATGCCTCTCTAGAAAGTTTATCGGACTCAGAGTCCCAGGAGGGGACTCATGGCTGGCCAGGCTGGCTACAGGGAGAGATTAGTTTGTTTGGAGAATGTTTGTGTTTCACCACAAAAATGAGTGACTATTTTCCTTCGCTCTAAACAAAAGAAGATCCATTTGGTTTGCATAACTCTGGCCATCTGACTCCTTCCTGGAAAACTTACATGAGGAAACCAAACAAAACAACACTTCTCATCTGTATCTGCAGGATGCATTTGAAAGAACGCCGCTTTCCTCATCTGCTACAGACAAAACTTGCCGTATTCCTGTGCAGTAAGAGATGGGCCTGATTGCTCCCAAACTCCAGATCTCATGCCAAAATGTGAATTTTGTGGTTTGGACTCCTCTCAGCTGACAATACTAGTGGAAGAGCTGTGGAGGGCAGGGGGCGGAGCGCTCGACTCGATGTTGCTGACTTCGCTGCCCAGGAAGCGATCTCTGTTCCCGGCTGGCTGCTAGCTGGCGGTGTAACCTGAAGAAATCACTTTGCCTCCTTCGCCAATTTTATAGAAAGGATGCCCAGACCTTGATCGCATCTCTGACACCAATCAAGGGCAGAGCTTGGACAGGAAATATCACAATGCCTCACTTTTGAGAAAGTCCGCCCACAGTAGCAGGCACAGTTTGCTCCTTACCTATGCCCTGCTAATCGAGTGCTGATCAAGCAAAATGAGGCTCTCACTGCATAAACACCGCTACAGGACACAGTGCACATGGGCAACTAAAGCAAGTCAGTCCCGAGGCATAAGGCAGTATGCAGAAATGCAGAAGGGTCAAGCACCTCACAAAAACCCATCTGTTTTCTGTGGATGCCCTTTCAACAAGGTCCTTTTTTACTGCTCAAATTCCTGTAATTTGCTACCCAGCATTCCTACACCTTTTAACAACTATCTGTAGCCTGTAAAATCTATTATTCCCAGCATTAGTGAATAGCTTCTTTTGCCATTAGCAGGGTGTAACCTTCTGGCAAGCCAGGACTTGGAGTACTTCCCAACCACAATAATAAAAGCCTCAATATATGCATGATGTTTTAACGCAGAAGAGCAAACCTCAGTAGGAGAGAGGTACAAAAGCCCAAAGAAGGTGACTGACACAGATAGTAAGGCCTTCTTTTAGCCATATAACCAAGCTACAATTTACAGCCTTTTCTTTGGTTAATGGTGCATCCAGGAGCTGACTGGAATACTGAAGACTGACTGCAAAGATTCCTTACAGGAGAGTTTGAGAAAGCACAACATTTTCAAACTGCCACCGCAACATCACAAGTGTGAACTGTTGGACTCCCAATATCGGAGATATTTTAGTCCAGAAAAGGCTGCAAAAGCTGTTTGTCAAACTTCCCATGTATCACAGATGGACAATTTCCTTCTGTTACCCCTGTATTTATGATTTGTGTTCAGCTAAAGTAAATCTCAGAAAACACTTTGACCTAGTCTTCTCTTTCTACAAGAGAAAGACTTTGGCCTATTAGACCAGCACAGCCAAA